TAACGATCAGTGAGCTGCAGAATGGCTTCACACCAATAAAGAGCTCTACAGATGCAATGTTTGCTTTGAGAGTGTTGATGCAGAAGTATTAAGGAGGAGGACTTTCACTTTATGGATCTAGATAAAACATTAAGTTATGGTGCCAAGAAAGGATCAGTATTACTGCATGAACCCAGGAGTGGCAGAAATATGAGAGGGTGCTGCAAGACATGTGGTGAGGTGTGATAGATAGTTTCAATGTGTGGATGAGACCAGTGATTGGCTCTAAGCCCCTGATGATGGCTGTTTTTTGTCTATATTTGTGGACATCTAATTTTGTTTTTGATGTTATAGTTATTATATGGAACCGTCCTCTTAAAATAAAAATAAAAAAACTGTTGGTGATCCAGAAGGTGCAAGGAGAACCTAATGAAAAGATTTTGTTTGTTGCCAGTTGGATAATCAATGATGACATTGAGGAAGTTTAGAAGCCTGAACCTTGTTAAGCTGTATACACTGTAAAATGTACCTTTTCCCCATCTCTTTTGTTTTGTACCCAGGCTGGCTGCATGTACATCCATGGTGGTGTGGTGAACATCCATGAGAACAAGAGAACTGGCTCTCTGTTCAAGATCTGGCTGACTGTGCCCAGCCTGTTGGAGCTATGCTGGGAGAAGCTCCTCAAGGCCTTTCCCCACCTTTCTTCACTCCCCACCATGCAGCTGCTCAACCTGGGCCTCACACAGGAACTCACTGAACGTTTGAAATAGACTTAGCGGAGCAAGAACACGTAAAATGGAAGGGACAGCGAGGAGAGTGGCTCAGTACAAAATTGAATTCACAGGAAGTCTTAGGGTGACCCAAGCCCCGCCCTGCCCTCCCGCCTGACGTAGCCTCGCCTTAAAACCAAAAACAATGGGATGCCTTTTTGTTTTCTTTTTCTTCCTTTTTTTTTGTAGTTAAAGTGATGAAGAACAGAGTATATGTGGAATGTTTTATGGATTTTACTCAAGACCCTGTCCCCCCCACTGGTCCCTGCACTTGTGTCAAACTAATACAGTCATGGTTTTCATCAAACAGCTGGAAATGGTTTATTTTGCCCCGGCATGAAGTCAAACACTGTTTTCTCCCATTGTTTGTTTGTTTGTTTTTTGTCCAAATCGGCATTATCTGGTAATTTTAAAAGTTCAGTGTGAATGACGAATGCATGTATATTAAAATGAAATCACTTTTTATGGGGGAGGGTGGGGTAGCTTCGTGAACTGATGTTGCAGTTTGCACATTTTTGTCTTACATATTTGTGGACATTCGGTTTTTTGTTTTTGTCATCTTTAAAAAAAAAAAAAATTCTTCATGCAGAGGCGACGATAGTATTGACATCAGTCTGAAACAGTGGCAGATGGTGGTTTGAACCATGGCGGTGTTTTTTGCACATTTTAGCCAATTTAATACAATTCCCTATCTAATATATAATTTTCATTTCTACTGACCTGTTGTAGAGTTTTAGATTATTGTGAATGT